CTCCGCTCTTGACACACTCGCAAACCTGGCTGTATGCACCGCGGCCGCGCCTGCGGGCCCGTGAGATAGACACCTCTGATGGTGGCTGAGGACTGATCTGGCGGCGAGGTTTAAATCAAAAGTGAATGGGTCGGCCGCGCTCCGTGGGCGTGAGGCGCGTCCCGAATCGTCCTCGGGACGGCGATCTCGATATTCTTTCATTTCCGAAGCGACGTTCTCACTCTTTCGACGTCGTCATCACAATTGCCGCCGGCTCGACGTTGTCTTGCTTGATCGATTCTCCACAGTAGATAGACGCTCGTCCTATCTTCCCGCCTTGTTTCCGAACAGCCCTGCGCCCGTCTGCGTCTTGTGCTGGCTTGATTCTTGGGATTGCATGATGTACATAGATGTATCTCGTGGGCTTCACAGGGCTCTTGCTGGACAACAACGCTGTACTGGGCCTCAGTTGTCTGGACGAGTGCCGCGTTTCTCTGCGACTGCTCGTAGACCGCACTGATCTTCGTTCCATGTCCACCGTGCTCAGGACTTCACTTGACGACGAGGTCTTTGGGCGCCGCGCCTTGAGATGGCCACTGTGCTAGTTAGGCTCACTGTTCTCGATGTCGCGCGCATCCGCTCGAATTCCGATGTCGACACTACCGATGACCGCCGGCCTATTCGCCAGCCTCGTCAGTTTTTTCAGTTCGCGCGCTCCGGAACTTTCTAGGCTCCCATCGCCATCAATGACGTCATGAGTATTCGGCTCAGCCGTGCCGAGGCCGCCGAAGTCATCTGACCTGCACTTTTCTGACCACCTCGCTGAGTGGTCAGAGACATACGCAATGCGGGGCTTCCTGAAGCAGCTGTAACATTGATCATCCCGTCTACCTCCCCTGATGAGAGTCAGTGTCTGCGCACCACAGCTCTTGCTTGGGGAGGGCCTTCTCCCTTTTGTACCACCTTTTTTGCCTCTGCTCGGTGAGACTCACGCGCCGCTCGACGTCGTCCTGCAAGAGTCCATCCGTCTATCTTCGCCCATTCAATCTATCTCATTAGTTTGCTTCGCACGTAAGCGCACATCGTTGGACACTTTTCGTCTAAACAGCCACATGAATATAATCGACATTGACTCAGACTTGCCTCACAATCGCAGCTTGTCTTGCAACGCATGATCCTGAACCTGAGCGAGATTCATAGCGATCGTCTCGAGAAACGTTTCCGCACACTAGACGTGGTAAAATGGCTCTCGCAGAGCCCACCTCTCCGCAAGGCAGCCAAACGATACATCCGCCATCTTCAAGGCTTGTATGAAATGCCAGGCCAATGCACGTTGGCCGTTAGCCGTCCAGTTCACGCTTCGGAGCACATATATCGCAGGAGAGAGAGTATGGCTCACGATTCGGTCCCAGTTTGGTCACAGCATCAGGATGTTTGTCAGCGCCTACACATGGGAACGGTACGTATACAATACAAAGTTCAGTCTCCTGTCATAGAGTCAATAAGAATAAGTACAAGACAGCATCAGGTCGCGGTCCGTCATCAGTACGCCATGAGGCCATGGCTTACAAAATCGATACACCCCGTACGTGTTGTAAGATTTCCAGTACCGTCACGACGGAACGCGCGTATGTGATGCAGCCGACATGTTACTCGACATGCGCTGGATCTTCCTTGGGCGTGGTGTCTTGCTTAGATCGCGAGTAAGCTTCCTTTTGCTTGAGGTCTCTTCCGGTCCTGGAGTATCGCGGCAGAGCTCGAGCCTGCCAGGCGCGCGATGGGCGGTCGGCGTGCACAACTGTGCTGCAACGGGCAAGCCGGGGTGCTCATCAGGTGTCGCCTTCAATGCGAATGGTGTTGAGTTCAAGTTGACGCTGTAAAGACAGGACAAATTGCGCTCACTGGCGAATGCGGCTCGCGCTCAGACTGAAGCTCGGTCTCTGGCTCATCCTCAAACTCGAGCTCTGGCTCTGGTTCTGGCTCGAGATTTCCCTCGAGCTCAGGTGCAGGCTCGGTTGTGAGCACGGGAAGCTCACCGCTCCCGTCTGCTGAAGGCTGAAAAGCGAGCTACGATCGTTTAAGGTAAACATTAGAAGAACTGGACGACATGCACAGACGGAAGAGTGTCCACTTGCCTCTGGAGCTTGCTTCTTCTCAATCAGCTCACTATCGGACTCCGAGGTGAGCGCAGACAACTCGCTCATTCTGTCCCAATCACCATTCTGTGGTGCCGTCGATAAGTAACACAGAAAAAGCGTCAGTTAGTAAGGGTGTCTTACATCGTCATCATCTCGTTGACCCTTGGTGGTGGTCTCCCCCTCGTCCATGGCGCTCGCAGAGGCATCACACAAGGCGTTTGCACTGCCATCTTCGACAGCAGACGTAGCAGCGTCGTCCATGACGCTTGCACTGCCATCCCCGACAGCGATCGTAGCAGCATCGTCGACGCCGCTTGCGCCAGTATCGTTGACGACGCTCGCCGCAGCCTCGCCCATGGCGTTCGCCGCAGCCTCGTC